AGCTCCCGCCTCATCACGGTACTATATTCAGCTTCTGGATCCTTCCTGTAAGCACATCTTCTGTTATTTCTACGTATCCTGCCAGGTTTTAGATCGAACCATGAAAAAAATTAGTCATAGTTGTAAACTTATTCATAACTAAAGTTATGAACAAGTTTTGAGCATTGGATGGGATTTGACTGAGACGATAGCAACCGTAAGGATTTCTTAGACATAACAGCCGGTTGAGTTTATGTCCACCGGGTTACATATCCTAAACAAGATGAATACAGTCCCCGAAACCAAACTGAACTTGTTCATAACTACATCCCATCCATCCTCAAACATTCAACTTTCGCTGACTTTCCTGTGAGTGCAGTTGACACTCGCCTGGCCTTACAACTCCCTCATTTTATCTACAGGCCGCTGATTGATTGCTGGCCTATTGCCAAAACATCTGTCAGTCGATAAAAGATGTATCAAACACCAAAGGTATCTCGTTGGTGCTGAGGTAGGACTCGGAAGGTCATCGATGTCATCAAGCTTTCTTTATCATTTATTTGACTTACCTCACAGGCCAACCTCCGGACCACACAATGATTTACATCCGGCCTCCGCCGCCTTGAGGTCGCTGGAATAGCCCGTCGTCCCCACGAGACCATGTGGCTCATTTCAACCTTTTTCTACAGTGCTCGCAGAACCGACATGTTTTTAAACTAAGAAGACAAACCTGACAGTGAGAGAAACCCCCCAAACCTTAGCCACAAGTTCATGTGTGCCTGTCCGAGCTTTCTAAAAGCGTCTGGGAGCGACTTCTCCTGCGTGTCCCTTCTACCAGGCTGGACTAGCTCATACCGACATCAGTTGAGCCTCCCTGGCAAAATTCACAGCCTTGGCGTATCAGGATGATTCAGTCGCAGGTCACCATCGTCAAATCTATTTTCAGCTATTTCTGTAAGTCAGATTTCTTGGAACTTGAGTTCTCCATGTTTGCTAGGTTCCATCCAAATCTTGAACCACAAGATGCTCAATGAAATCTGAAATATGTTCTATGGCTGGATCTCAATGGTGGCAGCAGTCTTGGTGTTCTCTCTCTCTCTCTCTCTCTCTCTGTGACCTGAACGTAGAGTTGTTCGAGGTACACAACCTTTTTCCGGTCTGAGCACGGTGAACAGAGTCTGGCCAGTGGATAAAGAACAAATCGAGGCCATCGACCGTCATCCCGACACTAGTTGCCATAAGTTGACCCTCAGCTACAAACCTATTTCCAACACCAACCCTGAGTGGAAGGCCAGTACATTGCGTCTGTCGAAAGCGTTTAGCTTTTTGCTGCCTGGCAAGCTCGTCCTCGAATTCGCTGCATACTTCAAAATATTGCTTGCGTATCCCTGGACCCACATTTGTAGATCACGACCTGAATCAGCCCGTGAGGCCAGCTGGGTTATGGTCAATCTGCTTTCTTACCTGTCCGATGGTCCCAGCCGACGACGTTCTGATTCATGATATTCTCAGAAAATTTGAACTGCGTACTTCGTCAGCCGTACCGCAACTCAATTCCACAGGTACTGGCACAGCCAGCGTTCTGTGCAGATGCTACATGTAGCACGTTACCTTTTCTCCTACGGCTACCGTCTGCAAATTCGAGTATGGTACTACGACATAGAGGCTGACGGTCAAAGACAGGTATGACCTCGTTCGGAATGGAAAGCAGTTGTTTATTGTCATTTTCGTTGCAAATTGGTTCGCTTATATTTATGCAGATTCACCCATACACTCCAATCAATAAGGTTTAGGTCGAGCATGACCGAATGAATTTCTTGAAGTTGGCACTTTAAATCAGACAAGAAACTCGATGAAGGAATATAACAAACCAAGATCCACAAATTTTCGATGTTCCTAGGGCAAAGCTTACCTTCGTTATGTTCACAGAAAATGCGCTTTTGATAAACGGGGCTTGATGCAGCTTGCACTTTTGGCAGAAGTTGTGATTTAGAGGTAGGTTTGTTTTGAAGATGGTATAGATTGTATTGTGAAGTTAAAACTGAACGCCCAACCTCGTCGTGTAAATAAGTCTTTCTCGACCAAGGGTTGTAGCTAAAGGGCGCGCAAATGGAATTCAAAACCTCGTGACTTGCTTAAGCACCCACAGAGATTGGTGGTACATACACCGTCCCTGCACAGTAGCGGAAACCTCAATCTGAATAGAGTGCAATCCTCCACTGTACCTCTGTCGCAACCACCCAACCTCTGCGCAAAGCCGTGTGATGGTCGAGTTCCAAAAGGCACGTATACAGCAAAAGTACAGCCATGTCTCAGAGCAGTTCTACGAAAAGCCCGACTAAGGCTCTCTCATGATCACGATCATGCTCTTTCGCGCACCTACCCTAGAACGGGAAGAAAAGGTCAAATGAGGAGGGACAGGGCGAGATGACCTCCATCTCGAAAATTCTCAAGACATTCTCTTAAGAAGCCTTAGCACAATGAGGGACAGTTTCTCCAGTGGCCGACTTGGTGCACAAATTTCACGACACCGAGGAAGTTTTGATCCAGGGATTCACGCTCATGGTGGCCCAGGCCGGACGTGACGGTGGTGCTCGGACGATCGGTGCACCGAATTCTCGGGGGCTACTCGGGAATTCGGTGGTTCATCCTGCAGACGCTGCAGACATTCCTCGACAAGCGCATCGACGGGCCGCCCCGAATCCAAAGCCGCGACCGAGACCGGCGACATCGTGACGGCGCACGACGCTCTGAAGCTCGTGGGGCGGCTGAAGCCGTTCGCTCTGCAACACAAGGATGGCCTGGCGGCCACGTGCTGGCGCTCGTCGCCGAGGTGGCGCTTTGCCTCGATTTGATTCGGTAACGACAGCGCGCTCATTGACGTGGCCCGAGACCGGGCCGTCCACGGTGGCAACTTCCAGGGGACGCCCATCAACGTGGCGATGGACAACCTGCGCCCATGTCTGGTCGCCCACGCTCGCGGCGACGCGAGCAACGATCAGAGCTGCAGCATCTTCAGCCGGATCTCCGTGCTCCAGCAGCAAGTGCAGATCGAGCTCGAATTGCTGATTGCCAGAGCTCTATTGCCCTTATTCGCAAGTGAGGCTATTCTATTGCTACTTATGGGTGCATAATTTTGAATACGGTTTGAAATCATTTTGATTCATACGTAGAAACTGCATCCCAAAAAAATGATTAGAAGCTGGAGACTGCGGTAATGCGGTTTATATGGAATTTAACAAATTGGGAGCCAAATACATCCACGGTTGGATGTTGCAATTTGATTCAGTCCATGTAATGAACCACATTGCACAAGGAAATCAAAGTCAAACATAGCAATTGTGACATCTCCAGAGTGAGCAAGGGTGTCAACGCTGTTGGAACAGGGTTTATGTCGGTTTGAAGTAGAAGCCATAGGAGACATGAAATCCATCGGTCGGCAATCGTTGTCAGTGCGAGGGAATCTACAACAGGATTGTACAAGGAGTAGAGCGCAGAGTGAAGGTGGGAGTTGATGCAGATGCCTTCCACTATTCGAATGTAAGACAGTCACGATGACGATAACAGCGCAAGAAGTGGGAAGGAGCGATCCTTGATTGGTTACGTTTTGGTCAAATTCTCTAGTGAAAATTGTCAAATCGAAGAACACTCTTCAAATCGTGACCGAGTTAGATAATTATGTGTAAATAGACCACTTCACCTCATAAGAATACGAGCAAACTCTTCGTTATTTCAGGAAGCAGCGTGAAACAACTGCACTCCTGCGATCCTTTGTGTAACTTTGTCGTTCCAATGATGAATTGGTCTGGAAACTGGAGGCGAGGTGAGTAGAGACCCAGCATAAACTTACGACGGAGGGCTCACATGATTCGGAGCAATCTTCTTCGAACTTGCAGGAGCTAGAAGTAGATTTCCTAACTGAAGCTCTGGCGATTTGTTTCCGAGTGCAGAGTTCTGAATCTAAACTCAACCTACGGAAAAGACTGGGACTCTAAGAGTACACGGGAAGCTAAGAGAGTCAATTGGACACGAAAGCAGGAGAACACAAAATCCAAAGCCAAGTACACAAGCACACTCAGAGCAACCTCCAGACGAGTTAGATGCAGCTGAGAGATAAAGCAAAATACCCACGACGTTCATCTGGATGACATGACAGCGTCCAATTTAGCACCAAAGGCCAGATTACTGTGGTTCACCACTTTGAATCTTCACCAAGACTCAACTCCGACGCTTACGAATAGAGCGCTCTTTTCTCTGCCAACCTTCACTCCGCTGCTTTCATCACTCCTTTGCAGAACTGTACAATTGGGACCCCACTATAGATCGAAGAACGATAGCCATCCGAACACAGAAATCCCAAAACTTCCGCCCCACTAACAACTCTCAATTGATCCCCGGGATAGGCCCATCTCGCGAATTCAAGTTCAGGTGCGGATCGAAGGCTCCAACATCCATGCCCAATGCAAAGTGATCCTCACGTAACCGGCACTGCCCACTGCTGAAGAAACAGAGGCAAATCAACTCGATTGCTCCGGCCTAAGTCTAAAGGCCAAAACCGAACTCGAATTTTCCTCTACCAGTTCCTTGCACATTACAATCGAGCGATCCCTCACCTGCACTTCCAAACTACAACTAGATTACAATCTCACTAGAACCTTGATTACGTCCGCAAAACTTCGCCCGTCCTCCAAATCACCAAATTATGGTCAATTGCGACCAAGTGGAAAGATCGCACCACCACTCACTGACTACTTTCGAACATGAACAAAACTAAAACTTGAGTTCTTCTAGTGAAATTGACCTATTTTTCCACACTAGAAAACATGTGAATATTGATTGGTAACATAACCTTCACAACCACTCCAAAAAAGACTCCAGGTGAAGTTGTTCTACTCCAAACGCTACGCTCCGCTCGAATAACTCAAGGGCGAACATCTCTTCATATCATCCTTCTTCCTCGAATGCATACTTCGGTGCTCTTCGGAGCTCGAATAACTCAAGGGCGAACATCTCTTCATATCATCCTTCTTCCTCGAATGCATACTTCGGTGCTCTTCGGAACCCCGAAGTAGTTAAGAAAGGGACAGTCGATGATGTCCAATGTGGACAGGTTGGCCAGATTGCCGAACGATTCCGGGAATTTTTGGATGATGGTGCAGCCCTGCATCGTCAAGTGCGACAACTGTGAAAGCTGCCCAAAAGTATCCGGCAAGGCTTGGAGTCTGCACATACCAAGCTCCAGGACCCGCAGACTAGCGAGATCGCCGAAGCTCTCAGGCAATTCTGAGATATTCTCTCCATGTATTACCATGGAGAGAATATCTTGTAGCTGGGACAGATTTCCGAAGCTCTCAGGCAGTTTTGAGAAATCACTCCCACTTATTGTCAGGGTTTGTAGCTGGGACAGATTTCCGAAGCTCTCAGGCAGTTTTGAGATATCACTCCGATATATTGTCAGGGTTTGTAGCTGGGACAGATTTCCGAAGCTCTCAGGCAGTTTTGAGATATCACTCCCATATATTGTCAGGGTTTGTAGCTGGGACAGATTTCCGAAGCTCTCAGGCAGTTTTGAGATATCACTCCCACTTATTGTCAGGGTTTGTAGCTGGGACAGATTTCCGAAGCTCTCAGGCAGTTCTGAGATTGGACTGTCATATATTTTCAGGCTTTGTAGCTGGGACAGATTTCCGAAGCTCTCAGGCAGTTTTGAGAAATCACTCCCACTTATTGTCAGGGTTTGTAGCTGGGACAGATTTCCGAAGCTCTCAGGCAGTTTTGAGATATCACTCCGATATATTGTCAGGGTTTGTAGCTGGGACAGATTTCCGAAGCTCTCAGGCAGTTCTGAGATTGGACTCTCATGTATTTCCAGGCTTTGTAGCTGGGACAGATTTCCAAAGCTCTCAGGCAGTTTTGAGATATCACTCCCATATATTGTCAGGGTTTGTAGCTGGGACAGATTTCCGAAGCTCTCAGGCAGTTCTGAGATTGGACTCTCATGTATTTTCAGGCTTTGTAGCTGGTGTAGATTTCCGAACCCCTCCGACAATGCTTTCAAAGTCAAACACCCATCAAGTTCCAAAGACTGCAGTCGTGAGAGCCCTCCAAAAGCTTCGGGGAGTGAACGAAGTCTCTCGCACCAGCTAAATGTAAGATGACGAAGCCTGGGAAGTTGTCCGAATGCTTCGGGAAGACCTTCGAAGTGGCAGAATGTTAATATCATAACTTCAAGGTTTTGAAAGTCGCTGACGGTTGTTGGGAAACATGTGACGGTTGTTGGGAAACATGTGGGGTGCAAGTCAACTCCAGTCAAGTCCAGAACAGCCAAACTTCTCGCGAGCCCTCGGTCTACCAGGTCATGAAGATTGTTCACTTCTCCACGAAGTCGAAGAAGGGTCACATTCTTTGGAAGCTTGCCACCTACTTCATCCAACATCAACTCCTCGGAATCCAAATATTGCAGCTTCTTCATCTGGCCAATATCTCTCCAGTCGAGGAGCATCGAGTGTTCATGTCGTATCGCTATGACCTCCTGCACCAAAACACCGAGGGCCTAGTTCACATTCCAGGCCACAAATATAGTCCATGATCTAAACTTGACCTACCAGACTTGTAGCATTTCATTTGATCAGGGCCATCGAGTCTTCAGGTTCAAAGTCAATGACATCCTTAACAGGACGTCCAAATTGAGTGAGGAGAAGCATCCGTTAGAGATCACAGGCCAGGTATTTGACAACAAGACGCTTCTCGTTTCGAAGTCCAGATAGGGTCAGGATGAGCAAACTCAGTAACGCGGTGTAGAGACTATATAACGTGATGAATATCCCGACAGCAAGATAAAGAGAGAAAGTGCGCTATCAATGACATAATGAAAGGAAAGTTGTTTGATCCTACTAAAGGGAGTTTCTAGGAGTAGCAAAACCAGTGCGTTGATTGCTTTGAATTACGTTTAAAAAGGAAAGGCTGCGACTTTATAAAATTATATTGCTGATTTCTCACAGAAGCATGCTGACTGACAGTGAAGTACTTCGATAGACATTTATGTAGGAAAGGCAGAGGATCTACTCAGACAATTTCTTGGGTTCAAGAAAGCATTACGTTGACCAACAGGAAGGGCAGTGAAGCTTTGGAACGGTCGTGTACAAGAGTCAATAAAAAAGTTCAGCGAAAAACACCCGACCAAACAATGACGTGCCTCAGTTGACGTGAATTTCAATGATCTACAACAACAACCGATATCTGACATGGGAGTACTATAGAGAGGAGACGGGACCTTGAAAGTCGGAGTAACATAATCTCGTACCTCAATATGTGTTGCCATACCAGTGCTTGATGAGCCTGGATCATTGGAATAGAACTGTCCTTCTGCAATACTCTCATTGTAGTTTGAGGAATTAAACCTCGAGGGGACATTTTTGGGAGTCCAAGTCCTACATCTGCCACCTGTTCCCCATCCTGAAGCCAATCTAATTCCGAGAGACCTCAATTGCTCATGCATTTGTATACTTTTCTCTTCCGTTACATTGTAGACAAGAGACAAGTCTACCAGAGTCTGCCATCGGAGATCTTCCTTGCCATAGAGCACACGCCAGCAAGCCTTAGCTTCTCGCAGGTTCCAGGTGGAATTGCTGAAGAATGACGCAGCATCAAGGAACATATTTTTCTCTTGACTACCCAAACGGTCGTAAGAAACTCTCAATTTCGCCCACAACTTCTCATCCAGACTCACTACGTTCTCTGCTTCATCCAGAGCTTGGAAACATTGTATCCATATGCTTTCTTTGTCTTTCGTCTTCAGATACGTGCCTATCACCTCTAGGGTTAATGGTAGTCCATCACATTTCTCGACGATCTTGTGTACCCATTCCTTCAGTGATGGCCTCGGTTCGGTCGGATACGGAAATGCGTAGCTCATAAATAACTTTGTAGAGCTCTTGGGATTCAAGAATTTCACATCAAACACGCATGAATCCAAACTGTTCAAAATGTCTCTATTTCTAGAGGTAACAATGTAACGACTGTTTGCGCAATCGTTCTTCGAAACTATGTCCTGGAGAAATGCAACATGACTACCATTGTCAATGTCATCCAAAACAAGGAGAAGTATTTTCTGTCTCAAATCAGTCAATTGCCACTCTTTCACTCTTTTTGTAAGCTGCTTGCCAAGGTGATACATCGACGAAAACACTTCGTCTTCTATCTCTTTGGTATTTTTCTTGAGCGTACATCCCGGAACGAAACAAGTGTATTCGTATTCAGCACACAACTCATTGAACAACAGCTTTGCGAGAGTTGTTTTCCCTACTCCTCCCATGCCGCAAAGAGCAACTGCTGCTGGACCTGTGCGTAAAATGTTTTGAACCTCTACAAGTAAGTCAGAATGTAGGCTCATTGCCATTTTCGGCACCGTCTGGAGATTATCAGGAAGTCTTCTCCTGTTCACCTATATCCAATCACAGTAGCCAAACGTAGTTCAAATCTGTAGGTTAGGAAGAATCTCACTCAACTAGAATGAACTCTTGCTTGAAAGCCACAATTTGAAATCTTGTTGACAGGGATCTAGTTATCGACGGACGCCCACAATAAACTCGTGTGGTTTCTTGAACCTACTTTGGCTCTCATACATCTGAAAGAGGGTCTCATGGGCTAATCTTTGCTTTTATTGACGAACAATTGCAATTGCCAAGACAGAAGACATGTTCGTGTGCGCAACCTTATTGCTTTGTAACCTTTGCAGGAACGATGTCAACCGTACATAAGTATTTGAAGTCTTGCTCTCGGGCTGGCAGAGAGAGATATGATCCTCAAGCTCCACAGTGAAGTCGCCGTACCGAGCTGAAGCCTCAACTACAATCATCTCACATTCTGAGACTCTGCAACAGCAGAGTCTCAGAATTCTGAGAATGCAGTTAGCAACAGCGTTCTGAGACTCTGCATCCTAAACTTCGGAACAGGTTGGAACAAACCACTGGTCAGACTAGTAATCTGAAAATATTGTATGGTGGATGGATTTCCAAAAGTGAAACTGGGATTCGGCAAACTTCATGAAACCTATCAAGATCTATTGTGAGTGATATCCGAACAATTTCATAAAAGTACTGGGTTACAAACTATGATATTTTGATGCAGAATTAATGCTGCTGTTTCAGCAGTTTAGAATCAAGAGGATAAAAGTAAAGAACAAACATGTCAGTCCCACACTCACTAGCATGATCGTAGGTCTCGATTCTCCAACTCCAGCAATGCTCCACTCGTAGGACAGACGTAAAGCATCAAAATTTTCATGAAGGCGACCTGATTCTGCGCAAAGCAGCTTGACATAGTCGAGTAGAGGGCTAGCCTCCTTTAGTTTTGTTCCATTTGGAGTGAAGAATGATGAAATTCCATGGTGCGGCGTTCCATAGAAGAAAATTCCTGTGACGGAGTTGAGAAAGCGAGCTATTTGTTTGTTGCTTTTTCTGGAGTGTGCGCGGAAGCACAATTGTTTGATCACAAGGCCTCCGTAACTATGACCGACGAGTATAACTGAACGCCAAGGATGCTGCCCCACCTTCGCATTTATAAGATTATGCATCAAACTTTCGGCTGTGAGGTAGAGGTCTAATCTTCCATGCTCTGCTGATGTCCTGATAGAAGCATCGTACTGGACAGAGAGAATCCGAGCTCCCGGAAACTCTTGCGGGATCCAGGCCTGCGGCCATACTTCCTTGTGAGAACCGCTTGATATCCATGTTGATAGGTGAGGTACAGAGGTGTGTGACGATTGTAGGCCGTGAAAGAATACAACGTCCAGCACTGATTCAACTCCTGGGTTATGAAGTTCGTACACGGAGTCGTTTAACTGATACATCAGATGCAGATCAGATCAGCAATCAAACAACCTGGACCGATCTCACCTAATGCAGCTCTGAGATTCTTAGATTTCAAGACAAAATTGGATATAGCGCAAACACGTTCCAGAACTGCTAAACCCTAAACTGCTATACTGTACTTTGCATAGATTATTGCGATTTCCTTACCCTCGACGTGGAAGTGGCCGAACACGCAGGGGGCAGAGACATTGTATTTAACTTGCGTAATCGACGCCCGCCCGCTCTAGAAGCACGATAGAGAGCATGCGATATATTTGATTCTCCTCCTCGTCAGTAGAGAAACGCTAATACAAGTGCACGAAAATCACATTCATCAGACGGAGCTTTGTGATGTCGCTCAATTGAAATCCTCAATCCCTCCAGACCATCCCATATGTGCAAGCAGAAATTGCCTTCTCTGCTAGATTCCTTCTTGTGTGGGTGAGTTTCTGAGTTTCCTCGGGAAGCCTTTTGGGCCAATGGTACGCGGTCCAGCTCACATAGACCAGTGAGCTTCAAAACCGTGCGTGGAATCGCGGAGTATCTTTTGACTTTTGAGTCATTCTCAGAAGGTTCTCGTTTGACTTTCCTATATTCAATAATTATGTACAAGAGTTGAACGTTTTAGCCTCGGGCAGCACACAGTCAACGATCTTTAAAGTGGACTTGAAGATTGCCTTATCTTGCTTTCTTCGAAGTTCTCCAGCCGAGTGAATTCTGTGTAAAGAAGAAAGTGAAGCGGCAGCAAAGCACGCGGATTATGGTGCGGAAAGGTCAAAAGGTGAAAACTGCAATTGCAGGAACAGCCGACAGGCTCGTGCACAGGAACAGGTCGGCTGCCTGCTAAATCCTCAAGCACTGTACCGATAATAGTCCGAGGCAATTTGACTCGATCGTATCGTTTCGTTCTTGTCAAACCAAATCCTTGTGTAACTACACAAGGATTTGAATTCCTTCAACGAATGACCTTGAATTCATTCTCCATTTACTGACAGATATCTGTGTACTCATGTGCACATGACAATTCCATGTCGGCAACTGTTGTCTGGGGGGATGAAGGACTTGCTCTGGTGTATGAGTCATGGTACAAAACACGACGCACTCGAACTTGGATGATTGCACCTGGGAATCTTGAAGCAGAAGGGCGTAAGCTTTTTGGTCGCTCATCAGAAGATGTCTACGCAGATCCTGGTTCACCCATGCTTCGCAGAACTTCTCTTGGAACGTACGTTCTTGCAGGTGTCAAAGACGCTGATGGCAAGAAGAGGCTGCTCCTGAATGGAAGTGGCGCGACCCCACAAGGCAATATCCCTTTCTTGGATCTGCTGGAAATGTAAGAATAATATAAAATTTCATCATTGCTTAGGCCTTTGTCGCCTTCATGCTCATTCATGTAACAAGCCTGCTAGGAGAATTGTGAGTTCCTCCACCAGGGCTTTCTGATATTTGCAGTCCAGATATATCGGAGCCTCCGTTACGAACAGGGGACTTACCTTCGATACTTTTCTCAATTGTTCCAGTTGGTGGCTACTATCCTTACTATGTACGCTTTCACCTCTGGTTCTAGTGTGGGCATCCAAGGCTTGACTGCAAGAAAGTAATAATTAAAACTCAGCGGTCCTATGATTTATAAGTTCTCGTTGGTTTGGCAGCGAGTCAGGTGAAAAACAGCGAATCTGGGAAAGCAGCAAGGAGACTTATTTCGAGACAGTCGTAGCTTTGATGTCAGATCAGTTGGATGGAGATCTGGACCTGAACAAGTTACGTATTTTGGTCTCAAAGGAATCTCAAACCGAACCACCTCAGTATTATCTGCGACCCTGGCCTAAGCAAACTGTCTGTCAAATTACAGACTTCCCTCATCCGTATCCTCAAATAGCTAATCTGAAGAAGGAGATTATACGATACGAACGGAGCGATGGTGTGCAACTTACAGCAAATTTGTATTTACCTCCAGCGTATGACCCGGCTACTGATGGGCCACTGCCACTGCTAATGTGGGCATACCCAAGGGAATTCAAGAGCAAAGATAACGCTGGCCAGATGAGAGGATCACCTCATAGTTTTGCAGGCATTGGATCTACTTCAGCATTGTTGTGGTTGGCTAGAAGGTAAGCAAGCCTAAGTGGTGAAGGCAGCAACAGAGGAAACTTTCTATGCTGTGGATTCCTTGGTTTTGTATTCTCATGTGCTTGAAATAATGTTTTCTGTTTGTTTCGGGTAGATTTGCTATTCCGGATGGTCCGACCATGCCCATCATTGGCGAAGGAGACGAGGAGGCCAATGACAGGTGAAATTCATCTTGTTTAGAGAATGGATGGCATAGTTTTACACGATTACCTGATTTTCAATAAGTAACGCAATTGGTTCTCGTGGAAACCATGTTTTCAAATCAACCATAGTGTATATTTAACTATCACAAGTCATAGTTCGTACATGTTCAGTAAGCTAGATGGTGTTTAGGTAATTCATATTCTGCTCAGGTTATGCCACTCTTGATTCTGCAATGAACTGCAGCATACCCAGAGATGTATGTCATTCTCTTGCTGAAGGAATAATCTCAAGAATGATTTGGATATTGTGAAGTAAATATGGAGCCTTTGTGCTTGACTGCAGGTACGTGGTCTATCGTAATTTACTCGCAATTGTTCGCTTAGTGACGCTGCATATCATTTACCTTCAGCCGGAGCCCCGATGTCAAAAGGTATTTCAGTCCTCCAACCATGAAAGTAAGACAAATCGGCACTCGGATCTCGCTAATATCGGTTAGACGGCCACAGTGGAGGTGGTTCCTTCATCTGAGTCAAAATTGATTGTGCTGATCTCAGAGTACTTGCGAAACCGACGCGATGACATCAGAGACGGAAGTAACTACTTGCGTGCGTGCGCGCGCTATCATTCAAAAAGATTCACTTCGGCCCCGAGCCTGGTATGGTGGTATAGGATAACGGGCTGAGTGTATATGAGGAAGGGGCTGTCCAGAGCAAGAACGCAAGAGCTTGTAAAGCAGACGCACCGAGTGAAGAGAAGAATGCACAGATTTTCCAATGCGAGCATTGGAAAATCTGCTGCAGATCAGAGTGCAGGACTCGATGCTGGAGAGGTAGGCAGGCAGGCAGACGTGCGCAGCAAGCGAGGTCACGTAATAGAAATTCCATGGCGGATTGTAGCCACCTCGTGCATGTAGGGCGTGGACCCTGAGCCTGAGCCGCGGCATTCTTCATGTCGCTTTCGATGGACTGGCTGATTTGTTGGGCCCTCTGGTCATGAACAAACTGTAAGTTCACTCGTTGGACCCGAATCAGGGACAGTGATGATGAATAAATGCCGAGACGAGACGGACTCGGGAGAGAACTGTATGAGCTCACCCAGCTGACCGGCTTCGGGACTTTCTGCCACAAGCGTGCTTCAACTCTCTCCCTCTCTCTCTTCGTGACGCCGTCACATGGACATAAAGGCCATAAGAGTTTCCAGAGTTGGTGGCGTGTCTGGCACAAGTCATGCACTGAGGGAGGGAGGGAGGGAGGAAGGGAGGAAGGGAGGGAGGATGTTGTTCAAGTGATAGTCCAATCCAATTCATGGCCGGGTGTGTACAAGGTAAATGTATGCCTTTCCCAAATGTGGGCATGCGTGCGTGTCTACTACCCACTAAATATGGTACCAGTCGAGTACCAAAGTGCGATGCGATTGATTCCATCATCCCTTGAACTAAGGTGATGGCAATTCAGTCAGCCCATGCCTCGAGTCGAAGTGGAGGAACTGCAGGCAGCTCTTGATATGGCCCAGGATCTCCCACGAGTAAGAGCAATCATGTTTGATGAAGTGCAGATTTAGGGTCTTTGTCTGAAAATCAAATCCCGAGGATTTACAGCTATCGTCATTTCTTCGCGAGTTTTTATAAGAGACGTAAATGTTCTAGTCAGAACGCAGCAATGACATTATCTTGATCGCAGACGTTGGTTCAGGTCCCGAAGTTGATGCAGCTGCATGCACTGGTGGAAAGGTTGAAGAACGTGGGGAAGTGCATGAAGTGGGAGTAACTCAGTATGGAAATCTACAGCTTCAAGTTTCGACTACTTTAGTATCAATTGGTTCCAAGTTTCCAAATCTTCGCGTGCTCGGAGTTCGAGGTGAGAGAGCGTGTTTCTTCAACTTCTTCTACATGCTTTTTGTTTGCTTCTGCCTCCAGCAGTTTTTGTACGTGAATTCACCTCGAGTTTTTGTTGTAATACACAGTGAGAGTCCTGCCAATTGCTGTTTCGTTCTTGTCCTCATTATACTTTCTTCTGATATTCGGAACTACCTTATCGTCCTCAACAAGTAACTCCTTTTCTTTTCTCAGCTGAGGAATTGTTTAAAATCATTGGTCCATTTAGCCTTCCCATCTTACATCGTGAAGGGTGCCTCTAGTAAGTGAAGGTCACTTTATGGACCCTTCACTTAATGGAAAAAGACGATTGTGGTGCATTCCAGAAGACGGAGAAACGTCATTGAAAACTAAAAAAATAAATTCATCACGGGCTTCTGAACCTTCAGCAGAAATCGTTTATTAGACCAACATCAGTACGAGAATAACGTCTTTGGAGTACGTGGAGTATCACTCACGCACGACAGAATTTCCAAGCAAATGTTCTGACAAGCATTTTTGACTTTATTTTGCAGTTGATTGTAATTCCATAGACGCGACCTTGAACTCTTCAGAACGCCTTCGGGATGCCTTAGACAAGTCATTAGCTTCTGTGGTGGTATGTACCTTCTGGTGTGCGTCAGAGCTTAGCACCTAAGAGAGTTTTTGCTAGTCATGAATGAAGCTTTTGCTTTTTCCAAATTTCCGAACTGTTGCGTATTTCTTGCTCCGAATTGCTGGATAAACGAACTCATCTGTCTGTGGTTTGTTCGGAAGAGATTCCTTAGCTTGGCTTTTATGTACAACGCTTTTCAGAAAGTCGACGTTAAGCAGTTCGTCAAGAGTTTGCAGTGTCATCACACCAAGCCTGATGCATCTTTCTGTGGTAAGTCTCCAGTGTTATGTGGACCATGATTATGCTGACTCCTAGTAAATGAAGGGCGTGTATGAATCAAGAGCAACTTTCAGCCATTTTCAAACTCGCGTTATTTTCTATTTTTCCTCGACCCATGACCGTCGGCATATTGTTTGTGCAGGAATTGCTCCGAATGATGGCTGCTTGTTGATTATGTCCAATATTTCATTCCTGGAACGAGGCAGACTGATAACTCTATCAGCCTGCATTACAGATTGCCCGTGCTTTTAGATGGTGCAAACTAGCTCTTATATGTGGAGAATGCCCATAACGAATGATTTAGACAGGGCATGATACCAGTCAATCTTGATTGTGAATCTAATGTAAATA